AGAAAAGACGGTGTTTGGATGGTATATCCACCTCTGGGGCTGCAATGTTTCTCCCATTTTTATTCACTTACTGAATAAACATTTAAAAATATCTACTATGTGTAGCAGAGTAGGTTAATTACTGAGGATAGCAATATGAGGGTACTTCAGAAAATTTGTGGAAAAATAGAATGAAAAGATAATATGAATCTTTCTATGAGTTTTTGAAGCATCTTTGTGTAAGAGATACATGGTCTCTGTTCTCCAGGAATTAAAATCTAGTGGTTGGGATAAACATGTGTACAAGTACCTATAAATCAACATGACAGGGACTAAAAGCAAGGGCGGTAAGAAGATTAAGGATAAACAAGGAATTTTAGGCTAAGAAAGGAATTTAGGTGTAGAAAAGAAAAAAACATAAGAAAGAGATAGTATAAGTGGAGTATAGGATCAGTGGAATAGTGTTTTTATTCATTTATTTTTTGACAGTATAGTTGATTTTCATGGCCCTTTACCAATTCCTCCTTTCCTCCCTCCCTCTTCCCCTCCCACCCCCATCAACATCATATCTGTTCACTTATTTTAACAAGTTCAAGGAATTATTGTGACTGTTGTGTCTTCCACCCCCATTTATTTGTTTGTATATTTATTAATTTATTTTTATTAGCTCCCACATATAAGTGAGAACATGTGGTATTTCTCTTTCTGTGCCTGGCTTATTTCACTTAACATGATTTTCTCATGGAGGGGACACACTTGGGTGGGAGGGGGGAGAGGGAGGAGGGAGGGAGGTTTCGGTGATGGGACACAATAATCAACTACATTGTATATTGACAAAATAAAAAAAAAAAAAACGTTACTCTAAAAAAAAAAACAAAAAAAACATGATTTTCTCTAAGTTCATCCATGTTAATAGTATCTTTTAAGGTAGAATATTCACATATGTATGTTTGTGCATATATATATGAATATTATCAATCAGCATATCTAGAGGTAGATAAATAGATATAGTCAGTGGAGAAGAATCTGATGTCCATGAATATGTATAAAAAACGTGGGTAGATCATCGCATCAGGCTTTCTAATGGCCAACAGAGACATGGTGATAGAGCAGGAGAGCAAGAGCCGAATAAGAAAACCTCTCCTAAGGATGCTCTCTGGTCTTGACATTATAGAGATAACTGGCTTCTTAATTTCAAAGGTCACCCTGAAAAACTTAGGCAGGACACTCGGAACTCTTGTCCTAAAGAGGCTTCTGTAATGAATGTTAATACATAGAAATATATCACCTTTCTACCTCGAATAAAATCAATATGGGAAACTCAGACCAGACAATAAATGGTTGAGAATTTACACTTCAGCCAGAGAGTAGAAATACCTTTGGAGAAATAATGTGATTTTTACCATGAGATAGTTTTCTAAAGAAAGTACTAGCAAATATAGATTAAAAAATTACATGCTAATTAATAATCTTGGACTGTCACTGATATATGGAGTATGAAAACTTTTCTTCATTTCTGAGAAAGAAAGAAAGGCCTTTGTTAGGGACAGTGCAGGGGAAGGTCTATACTTCAGGACTGCTGGTTTGGGCTTTTAGTCTGAAGGAAAGCCCATATGAACAAATGTCTGCCTGAAGGCAGCCCCGCTGTGGAGTGAGGAGTTTGGCAGGTGCCTGAATTGGGGAAGGAGCGTTGGGCACTCCAGAGGCAGGCAGCACCATGTCGGATAACCTTCCGCTTCAGCTCCTGCTGTGTTCTAGTGCACATGAAGAAATCCTGAGAACAGTCAGGGAGCATCCTGGGGCATTTTGGGCTAAGTGAATTATTTTCATTATTTGATCCATTGCACTTGCTCTGATATGAATTTGTGAGTGCCTCACTCTTGTTACTCATTTAAGTTGAGGGGCTCCCTCATTACTTTTCACTGTAAAATGCTCTGCCAAAGGAGTTTTTAACACCATGAGGATCATTCTAATTTTTATATTTTTGAGTTCTGTTTACCTCTCCTGGCTTGTCTCCCTGTTCTTCACAGTAAACCACAGGAAATAGTGATTCAGATTTTATTTACTTATGAATTGTTCATAGGCAATGAGAAGACAGATGGAACGGGGACTTTAGCAGGAAAAGACTGTGCTTAGTTAACCGAGATGTGAAGAAGCAAAAGTAAAATAAGATGATGTTTCACAGAACTCACTAAAGGAAAACTACTCTAAGAATTCAACAACAACCAGATTTGAACATTTCCTATGGCAATTCCCTCTCACTCCAGATGGTCTGTTCCCACTAGCAGGACAACTGCTAGTGGTTTTTATTGAGCCCTGGGGTAAGTGGGATTCAGCCATCAGAAAAGTGACCCCTCTTTATCTTTCTCTTCTCTGACTTTGCGCAGGAAGAAATTCTTTCCTTTAGGGATATAGAGTCAGAAAGTTGCTCTGTGTTTCTAAAAACAAAGGATTTTAGTATGTGTGACATTTAGGAAACCCCACAAACTTGTATTAATGTCTGTGTATAGACTACTGCTGAAAGTTATACTAGATAGTGAGCCAGATTTGTGCACCCACCTCTCATCAGATTCTTTCAATATCTTGCTCTCCTCCGCATCTGGGAAATTGTCCTGGCCGGCAACCACTGTGTTGCTGCTGGAGGTGGTTCCTGCAGACGGGATAAAAGAAAGACACTTAGGAAAAGACGTATGTGGAGGGGTCAAGCTCAAGTCTCAAGTAATTCCAGGAAAGGATTTCCTGTAAAATCCTGTGTTTGAAAGACTCCTTACATCTTCTGCTCAATCTCAGACATTCTAAATAACCTTCCAATCCCACACCACTGAAATGGGAGAATCCTAGACATCTGTTATGGTCAAACCAAATTCCTAACTCTCTTGTAAAGTTAAGCTATAATATTCTTGAAACCTTTTCTTGCTGGCCACTTAGGAACTTATTTATAGTGGCCGGGTTTGCTGTTAGCTGCTTTTGTATTTCTGGGTCCAGGAGTTATTCTATGAACGTTAGTGAAGCAAATCCAAGTACCGAGAGCTTCTGAGAGGCTAGTGCCTCTGTGCAAGAACGCTGCTCCGGCAGGAGGGCACAGGACAAATCAAGGGTGTGACAGACTAGTGGAGGAGAGAAATGGGAAGGCAGTTACAACATTCGGTAAATCAAAGGGAAGCCAGCTTCAAGGAATTTCAGGAGGATGGTATACATTTCATGAAACGATGCTGTGATGAATACTGTTATGGAGAATTTTAATCAACCCTGGGAAAATATTAGCCAAGGGAATCTCATAGATACGAGGAAGGTCCAGAAATGAGATTCCTAATTGACTGCACTGTCCTGCCTGGGATCGGCCTAAAGTAAAAAGCTCCATGGCAGAGGAGTACCAGGCCACTGANTTCGGTGATGGGACACAATAATCAACTACATTGTATATTGACAAAATAAAAAAAAAAAAAACGTTACTCTAAAAAAAAAAACAAAAAAAACATGATTTTCTCTAAGTTCATCCATGTTAATAGTATCTTTTAAGGTAGAATATTCACATATGTATGTTTGTGCATATATATATGAATATTATCAATCAGCATATCTAGAGGTAGATAAATAGATATAGTCAGTGGAGAAGAATCTGATGTCCATGAATATGTATAAAAAACGTGGGTAGATCATCGCATCAGGCTTTCTAATGGCCAACAGAGACATGGTGATAGAGCAGGAGAGCAAGAGCCGAATAAGAAAACCTCTCTTAAGGATGCTCTCTGGTCTTGACATTATAGAGATAACTGGCTTCTTAATTTCAAAGGTCACCCTGAAAAACTTAGGCAGGACACTCGGAACTCTTGTCCTAAAGAGGCTTCTGTAATGAATGTTAATACATAGAAATATATCACCTTTCTACCTCGAATAAAATCAATATGGGAAACTCAGACCAGACAATAAATGGTTGAGAATTTACACTTCAGCCAGAGAGTAGAAATACCTTTGGAGAAATAATGTGATTTTTACCATGAGATAGTTTTCTAAAGAAAGTACTAGCAAATATAGATTAAAAAATTACATGCTAATTAATAATCTTGGACTGTCACTGATATATGGAGTATGAAAACTTTTCTTCATTTCTGAGAAAGAAAGAAAGGCCTTTGTTAGGGACAGTGCAGGGGAAGGTCTATACTTCAGGACTGCTGGTTTGGGCTTTTAGTCTGAAGGAAAGCCCATATGAACAAATGTCTGCCTGAAGGCAGCCCCGCTGTGGAGTGAGGAGTTTGGCAGGTGCCTGAATTGGGGAAGGAGCGTTGGGCACTCCAGAGGCAGGCAGCACCATGTCGGATAACCTTCCGCTTCAGCTCCTGCTGTGTTCTAGTGCACATGAAGAAATCCTGAGAACAGTCAGGGAGCATCCTGGGGCATTTTGGGCTAAGTGAATTATTTTCATTATTTGATCCATTGCACTTGCTCTGATATGAATTTGTGAGTGCCTCACTCTTGTTACTCATTTAAGTTGAGGGGCTCCCTCATTACTTTTCACTGTAAAATGCTCTGCCAAAGGAGTTTTTAACACCATGAGGATCATTCTAATTTTTATATTTTTGAGTTCTGTTTACCTCTCCTGGCTTGTCTCCCTGTTCTTCACAGTAAACCACAGGAAATAGTGATTCAGATTTTATTTACTTATGAATTGTTCATAGGCAATGAGAAGACAGATGGAACGGGGACTTTAGCAGGAAAAGACTGTGCTTAGTTAACCGAGATGTGAAGAAGCAAAAGTAAAATAAGATGATGTTTCACAGAACTCACTAAAGGAAAACTACTCTAAGAATTCAACAACAACCAGATTTGAACATTTCCTATGGCAATTCCCTCTCACTCCAGATGGTCTGTTCCCACTAGCAGGACAACTGCTAGTGGTTTTTATTGAGCCCTGGGGTAAGTGGGATTCAGCCATCAGAAAAGTGACCCCTCTTTATCTTTCTCTTCTCTGACTTTGCGCAGGAAGAAATTCTTTCCTTTAGGGATATAGAGTCAGAAAGTTGCTCTGTGTTTCTAAAAACAAAGGATTTTAGTATGTGTGACATTTAGGAAACCCCACAAACTTGTATTAATGTCTGTGTATAGACTACTGCTGAAAGTTATACTAGATAGTGAGCCAGATTTGTGCACCCACCTCTCATCAGATTCTTTCAATATCTTGCTCTCCTCCGCATCTGGGAAATTGTCCTGGCCGGCAACCACTGTGTTGCTGCTGGAGGTGGTTCCTGCAGACGGGATAAAAGAAAGACACTTAGGAAAAGACGTATGTGGAGGGGTCAAGCTCAAGTCTCAAGTAATTCCAGGAAAGGATTTCCTGTAAAATCCTGTGTTTGAAAGACTCCTTACATCTTCTGCTCAATCTCAGACATTCTAAATAACCTTCCAATCCCACACCACTGAAATGGGAGAATCCTAGACATCTGTTATGGTCAAACCAAATTCCTAACTCTCTTGTAAAGTTAAGCTATAATATTCTTGAAACCTTTTCTTGCTGGCCACTTAGGAACTTATTTATAGTGGCCGGGTTTGCTGTTAGCTGCTTTTGTATTTCTGGGTCCAGGAGTTATTCTATGAACGTTAGTGAAGCAAATCCAAGTACCGAGAGCTTCTGAGAGGCTAGTGCCTCTGTGCAAGAACGCTGCTCCGGCAGGAGGGCACAGGACAAATCAAGGGTGTGACAGACTAGTGGAGGAGAGAAATGGGAAGGCAGTTACAACATTCGGTAAATCAAAGGGAAGCCAGCTTCAAGGAATTTCAGGAGGATGGTATACATTTCATGAAATGATGCTGTGATGAATACTGTTATGGAGAATTTTAATCAACCCTGGGAAAATATTAGCCAAGGGAATCTCATAGATACACGGTAAATCAAAGGGAAGCCAGCTTCAAGGAATTTCAGGAGGATGGTATACATTTCATGAAACGATGCTGTGATGAATACTGTTATGGAGAATTTTAATCAACCCTGGGAAAATATTAGCCAAGGGAATCTCATAGATACGAGGAAGGTCCAGAAATGAGATTCCTAATTGACTGCACTGTCCTGCCTGGGATCGGCCTAAAGTAAAAAGCTCCATGGCAGAGGAGTACCAGGCCACTGATTCTTGGTCACCCTTACAAAATCGTTCATTAATCTGATAATGCCCTAAGGGTCTCAGGTAGCCATTCTTAAGCCGTCTTTTAAATTCACGTATGCACAAGAGTAAGAAAAAGTAACAGACCTGTACTCATATCCTTTCAGTGCTCTACAAAAACGAAACTCCAGAGACCCATGACAACGTCTACCCAGCTGCCCTTCTCCCTACCAGAGGCTGCTGCAGAGGCCTTGCTGCTGGCCGTGAAGCGGTAGAAGGGAGGGTTGTCGCAGTGCTGGACAATGGGGTTCACTGGTTCAGTCTGCTGCAGCTCAAACAGAAGCTCTTCCATGGTTTGAATGGTGTTATTCCGGCACAAGTATATTGCCACCTTTTTAATCTAGAAGAAAAAAAGAAAACAAGGGACGCTTATCCAGAGCCTAGTCCAATTTAGAAAAATGCATCACCACCCAGGAGCTATCAGCCTGATAGCTCGTTTTTGCTATCTGAACATGAACCAAGTGCTTGGATTAAAATTCACCTCTCTTCACATGCACAACTGACAGGGGGTGCTGTTAATGGCCTTACGCTTTCTAATGGCTGAGTTTAAAAACATTACCTTGGGAGCACATGGATTCTACCTAAACTGAAAACTTACCATCTAAAGTCTCATCTTCTGAAAGAATTTAATTTATACAAACCCAGGGAAAAAACTGCTATTTTTGTTTAAAAAGGGATCTAGTCCCCTGAAATTCTCTTCTCCCCTAGAAATAAGAGTTTTAGCTGTTTTTATGGTTTTGGATTTTAAATATAATTCTGGATTAAAGCTCTGCATTATCATAGGCCTCACAGCCAACCTGAGGCATGTGAGTTGCAATGAGGCTTATGGGGCTCAAAGCGGCAGGAAGCCATAAAGTCTCTCACACAGACAACCGGCACAGAGATGCCAAGTGAGTTTGANGGCAGGAAGCCATAAAGTCTCTCACACAGACAACCGGCACAGAGATGCCAAGTGAGTTTGAGTTTTAAAAATGCTGTTATTCTGTTGATCCTATCACCATTAAATACAAAGAGTAAATATCAGACATCTCAGGAGGATTTCTCCCTGCTTACTCCTTTCTTCTGCCATCTGAACTGAAAGAGAAAAACCTGGATTCCTTGCATTTTTATTGTTCAAGGGCATCAAGATGTAAACATAGAACATTTTTATTGGTAGGAATAGAATGCTTTACCTAGTTTCTTTTACATAATAGGTCTGGTGTTTATAGAAGGCAGATTTTGATAACTGTTAGAAAAATATCCACCCCTTAATTCATAGGTTTGTGTCTCAAGGCACAGAGCGAGCAGATGACAGAGGCATCAGTAACACAGTAGCCTGAATCTCGGGAGGCAGAAGGGAACTTTAATGTAATGTCTGGACAAGCTCACGGAGGTTGGTGTGACAGATGAAACTGTACATCTCTATTTTAGCTGGAGCAGAGAGCACATTCTGACTTGCAAATTGTACATGGAAGCCCCAGCAGGAGTCATCACTCCTGCATGTCTGAGAGGCACTTACATAGGGCAGGAGAAGCGTGTCACTGCTGACCCCGCACAGACTGATCAGGAACTGCAAGGTGATCCTCAGGTTGTTGCTCCATTTCTCATTGTTGGCTAGTGCATTCCAAGCATTTTCCATTTCTGATCCAGGAACTTCATCCCCATACTATAGCACACAAAATAAAAGACGGCCCAGGAGACACGTGTGAAAATGTAAGGAGGCAAAATGTTTGATTAAAAGTGGTTTTGAAGGTCCTGGACATCTCAAAATCTTAAGAAGGGGGAAACATGGCCATTCCTCAGAAAGAGACCATTTTTCATTAGATAGCAATTTATAATGCACTAATCAGTCATGCATAATA